ATTGACCTTGCTTCTATAGGAAAATACTGGAGTTGTTCCTTCTCATGTTTTTATTTCTTTTTTTTTGTTTTTAAGAGCAGTTGTTACCAGATATTTATACATTAACTGTGCACTTGCTTGCTTTTAAAAATGCTTTTTAAGTGCTGTTTAAAAATGCTGTTCTTCTGTCCTTTGGTATGTGTATATGGCTTAAGTGTGAAATAAATTAATGTTTTGTATGTATGAGAGAAATAAATAAACGGCAGCTGTGAGGTAAAATGGTCCTTAAGCAGCATCTCATGAAATGAGAGTCAAGCACCTTGTATACACTGAGATGTAGTGTACCAAATCACTGCATCTGTATTGGTGAGACCTCAGGGACCTGTGTCCACAGCTCAGTGACACTTAACAGGCAGCAGATCAAATAACTCGATAGGAAAGCTGCTCCATCTGTCTGTGAATATACAGCCCTTGAAACCCCTGCTCCGGTCATGTAGCTCCTTGGAACAATTGTTCTGAAGGCTGGACTCGATGGTCTTCAAGGTCTCTTTGAGCTGAAACTATTCTGTGATTCTATGAAGGAGAATACAGGTGAGAGGAATAGTTTCTCTACGGAGACAGGGATTGGTGCTGGGGTCCCTCTTCCTTGTGTGTCTGCACCTTCTTGGAGGAGGTGATGTTCCTGGTGACTGGTGACCCTGGCAGGGTCTCACCTGGAAGGGTGAGAAAGGGCAGCAGTGTCTGGGGCTACCCACCACCTTACCCTGTCACAGCGGCACTGAAGTACTGAGTGAGGGGTCTCAGAAGTGTGCTGAATCTTCATAACTCCCCCAAGCCCTTGAGTCAGATGCTTATGTTGTGGCAGAGCAGAAAGCATTAAGAAAGGAGATTGTACTCTGCAAGCCAGGGGCTGGTCACCCTAGGGGTATTCAGGAGTTCTCGTGCTCTGGTTTCTTCTTTTTTTGAAAGAGGATGTTGGGTGTTCTGCTTCATTATGCTATGTATGCATTAGACTAGAATTGTTTTACAAAAACTACTGGGTTGTGTTTTGTCTCCAGTCTCTTCAAATTGATCTTTATGCAAATAAACTAGCTTTACAGAAAAAAGTACTTGTGGTGGATTTTAAATATCTGCATAACAATGAGGTACTCAGAAAGGATCAGTGCTACTTATAAACTTGTTTCTAGGTTCACTTCAGTGAATGGATGTTTGAAAAAGTATCCTTAAGTATGTTAATTGCCTGTAGTTGAAGAAAGTAATTTAATTTGTTAATACTATATCTAAATTACAACATCATTCTATCGTAAAACCTTTGTTTAGAATACAGGAAGTAAAAAATATTTGAGAACTGAAATTAAACAATTCCATGATAACATAAATTGCCATGAGATTTTGATACATCCGTGAAAAAATACGGTAGATTTGTAGTTACAGTTTACCCTTGTCATTATACTTCTCTCTTAGGAAGCAAAAATTGAACCAGAAGAGTTTACAAAAAAGCTGTACATAGAGCTCAAGTCGTCTCCACAACCGTATTTAGTTCCTTTCCTCAAGGTAAGTGTATCTGATTGTGAATGTATAGTACTTAATGAGGGAAGGAGGGCCAGACAAGAAGAGTCAGAGTGATCAGAGAGGTATTTGCTCAGGTCAGTTGAAGAAACAGTGCTTACACTAGCCCTGTGTGACATGTTGCTCGGGGAAAGACAATTTTTTGGGGGGAAAGAAGGGTTTCAGAGGAGTAGGTTATGCTATGTTCTTAAATTGAGGATAATTATCCTCTAGCTGTTTGTGGAGACTAGTGTTTTGGAAGCTGACACATCTATGGTACAGCAGCTATACTAAGATGACCTCTTCTTTCTCCTCAAAATGGAAGTTCTAATACAGAAGACTGACAGCAGTAGCTGTGCACAGCTTCTGTTATTTAAGCTCAAAGAATCTCCGTAAAGCTATTTATCTGTCTGCTGATTTGTGTTTAACTGGAGGCAGAAAAAAATCCCACTCCTTTCTCCAAAAAGGGTCTGACAGGACTACTGCAGCTTAAGAAGAGTAACCCAGGACAACTCTACTTCCATTCAAGCAAATAACTAAATTAAAAAATGATCTCTTAACACTTTTAATCATATGGTAGAATGGCATTAACAAAATAAAACCAAGCATCTTTGTTGTACCACAAGCATTGAATTCCACTGAAAACATGGAAATCTTGGTTACATTTACTTAAAGGCAGTAATGTACACAGTATTAGACTTGATAGATCTGTACTTTTCTTTGGCATTTATTATAGACTAGGTGGAGAATCAAGGAGGAGTAGTTAAATGGTAAAGCCAGGACAGAGGTTTCCTGGAGGTTGTCCTCTTCCTAAGTGTTTGACAGCACACCTAACAATGCACATGATAATGTTGATACTCCTTTAGGTATCTGGTGTTAATCTGTTCAAGTGTGGGATGAATATTTTTGTTTCAGTGGCAGCCTTTAAATGCTTTACTAGCAAGTTTTCCATGAATATAGAATACTACAGTCATGTCTGCAGGGCTTAATATAAAATTTTTATATTGGTCACCTATTTTTTTTCTCTGTTTAATTCTTCTTCTTAAATGTCCATGCAAAAGCTAGAAAAGCAAACAGCTCATAGTATGGGCTTTCCTGAACCCAGTGCAGCTCTGGCTGCAGAAGGACTGGGCTGTGAGTGCAGGCTCAATGTGACTGGCCCAGGTTTCCTGTGAGCTGTGCAGAGTCCCAGCAGAGCTCTGCGAACTACCAGGGCAAGTTTGGCTTCACAAGTAGTGCAGCTGCATTCTGCAGGGCCCTGCTGATGACCCTCTCTGGACATGGGCTGTGTGGGGTTGGCTCAGGTACACCATGTTCCCAAAACAGCATGGGTGAACCACAGTAGCTCTGCACAGACTTGGCTTAAATCTGTCACAGCTACACCTTATCTGGGGCTGGTAAGTCCTGGCAGAGGAGCTGAGGAGTGGTTGTGCTGGTGTTTGCTGGTGCTTCGAGTCCCCCAAGAGTTTATTACCTGGGGCGTAATTCTGCAGGAGTTAAGCTAGGTTCACCCCTGGTCTGTTAGTTGACTTTGTAGCGTCACCAATTCTTTAAAACAGCCTCACTCTGATTTCTTTTTTTTTCTGAAATACCTTAAGGATGTGTAGTTGATAGACTCCGATGAGGTCTGGTCTGTGTAACTCTGAGCAGCTGTGACAGGGCTGAGTGCCAAATGGAAGCTGACTTCAGGAACACTTCTCCTAAGGTGCTACAGTGATCAGTGCTGGCCTTGTTCGTGGGGAAAGCCCTTGCAGCTCGAGTCTGGAAAGAAATGTGACACAGGTTGTTACCAGTTTGCTTTTAGCTTGAAGTGGAATTTTAGGGAGGACTCTGAAGCTGTCTCTTATCTTTGAGCAGCAGGTTTTTCTTAAAATTGTTGCATTTGTTTTGTCTCTTCCAATAGAAAAGTACAGTCATTTTTGTCTGTGAAGGTTGCTTGATTTTTCCAATCTGTGCTGGATGCTTTTGGTAAATAAATTGCATCAGGAGCAATGAGGAAAGTTGAACAGCCTTTTGAAAGAAAAGGAAGTGAAGGTTAAAGATAGGTGTGTCACAGAAGGTGCAGATGTAGCTTTTGCATGAAGCCCAGGGCAACAGCACTATGCTGGAGACTCGTACAAACTTCGAAAAATATAAAGGGCTTAAAAAAAAAAGGTGTCTCTGAGAATATACAGATAGCTGCAGAACTGATTTCCCCTGGTTCTGAGCCATAACAGATTGTACATAATCAAAGATAAAAATCTGTAAAGCGCTTGAAGATTATTCTGTCCATTAACCTTCTCAAACATATCTGTAGTAAAAATGAAATGTTGCCAGATATCTTTACTGAAGTTCTCCTGTTGCAGAGAACGGTCTGGCCCAAGTTGTGCTGCTGCAACTATACAGACATTATTGAAGTGGTATCCCCCCCTAGTGTTGATACAGCTGTATTGGTGTAGAAGTGCTCATGTCTTCAGAGCTTGTTTCGGGCTTTATTGGATGATTTGTAAGTTCTCTGTCAGACAGCCTCTGTGAAATAAACACAGCTGTTACAATATAGCAGGGTTTTTGGCAAACCAAAATATTTTGAGGTACAAAGTAGTTAAAATATTCTTATTCTGAAACATAAATTTCAAATTGAAAAATCTGAACAAAGTTTCCTATAAATGGGATTTGCTGCATGCAGTGAAGCCTTGGTGACTGTTGACCTTTGCTCAAATGACTGTGTTGGTGATTCTTGTGATTTTCACTGAGTGGTATCGTCAACAATTTAAGGATGCACAAATTCTAGTAAGTGATTTATTGTCTCCTGAAAAAATTAGATTAGAAGGTGAGGAAGAGGATTCCATTGCTAATGTATCAGTATTGTGGAAGACTGCTGATGTTACGCCCAGTGGTTTTTTTCATCTTTCTTCTAGAAAAGCATGCTCGCCTTACGGCAGCTAATGCCCAATGCTCAGAGCTTTATTCAGCAGTGTTTGCAGCAGCCAGCTCCAACCCAAGAAGCTGTTTCAACCTGTACCTCTGCAGCACCAACTCCTTCAATAGCAGTGGCAAGCTCAGCTGTAGCAACAACTTCACTCCCAACTACAAAACCAGCATCTGCCTCTGTAACAGTCACGGCTTCTCCAGTTGTACCACCAGTCCTTGCCAGCACGTCGGCGACAGCTTCTCTGCAGACTGTGAAGGCGGTTCCTTCCTCTACAGTGGTGACAGCGTCTCTTCAGCCCAGACCTTCGGTCCTTACTTCAACATCAGGGCTGACTGCTATCCCAGCTGGCAAGCCAGTCTTCAGCTCTGTGGTAGCAACGTCCTCTCTCCAGTCTGCAAAGACAGTGCTGATCTCTACGGTGGCACCTTCCGCAACAACACCTCTCCAGCCTCCCAGACCAGCCATGGGAACCCCAGTCAGTATTAAAATGTCACAGCCAAACTCCATCGCTGCGCGGTCAGTGGGTGCTCAGCAGGTGGTTAAAGTGAAACACTTGGTAAGATGAATTTCTCTGCTCCTCACTAACCAGGCTTCTTTATATTGACTCTTAATGGTTTCTAAAGAGGATTGGATTTTCTTTTTAAATTTTTTTAAACATATGAAGCTAGTCTGTCATCAGTTATGTTTGTCATAGTTTAGGGATATTGAGTCCTTGCTGAAAAAGTGAATCTAAAGCCAAGCTGTAAGCTCGGTCTCTTGCAAGACATGCTGACCATCATTCCACCAGACTGAACGTCCAGGTTGAGACATGAGGGAATACAGCAAGTTCTGACCCCTGTTATGCATGCAGCCAGGCTAGGTTGACATCTGAAAGAAAAAGCAGGAGGTGCTGGTGTCAGAAACAGAAATCGCTGATGGATTGCTTACGGTAAATGCTATCATTTTCCCTGTTAGGGCTGTGCCTCAGCTAGCCACCAAGGATTCCAGCCTCTCTACCCTGGATGCTTTGCAGGCACAGGTGGCCTGATGATATTTAGTGATATATTACCTGAAATGTACAAACTAGCTCATTGAGCTTTTAGGAGCAGAGTTTTGACCTCCAAATTTCCCAAGATGTGTTAATTATGAAGTCTTGCAAAAGTGAGCTGTTTCTATCAGGCCTCTTTAGCTAACAAATTCCTTCTGGAATAAATGTCTCATTCAAGCAATGCCCTCAAAAGCAATGTGTTAACGTTTTTGGTTTTTTTCTTGGCAGAGGTTAACTTCTAGTTAATGTTAAATACCAACAATCAGAGGATCTCAGGTATACCCAAACCAGCAAGATAGTAAAAAACTTTTAGTTTATGGGTGTTTGAGATACTGAGTAGTATGCTAACTGGTCTACCTGTAAGTAATGTTCTCAAATATTTTGAGACAATAGTCTCCTTCTGGTAGATAAAGAACTCAATTCTTTAATAGGACTTCTTTGCAAAGATTTTTTTTCTTTAAAAAGAGATGAAAACATTAGACTTTATATGAAGATGCCTAAAACGTTTTACTTTTTATTTTTCTTCTTCTTAAAATGCATAAGGCAGATATAACACAAGAATCCTGCGTGCTATAAATAAAGAACTTATGCTACCAGCTTTTCACCTTTCCAGATTTGCTTAAAAAGAATAAAGCACTCAACTATATGAAGGGAATGGGAGGTCCTTTTCATGGGTGGGTTTGTTTTACAATCAAACCAAACTTGAAAGCAAACTACCAAAAAACCCCGTTTATCAAGCATATGCACTGACAGTCTTTGATAGTAGCTAAAGCCAAATTAGCAAAGGAGTTGGTACCCTTACTGTCTTTGAGGACTAAATCTGAAATTCCAGCCAAAAAAAAAAATGAGGATTTCTTAAGTTGTACAAGGGCTGGAGAACAGTTTATTGGCTACACAGCAAAGCCATGTAATCCAAGGGAAAGGCTGACCATCTGTACAAATAGATGAGGAAGCTTCACTCTGCACTGGGGAGTCAAAACAGTTCTTGAATATAATTTTGGTGAACTCAAGAAATGACTTTTGCCTCCTCCACTACTGCAGTGTGGCAGCCTGTTGCAGTTGCTTTTCTTTGCTGTGCCTTACAAACACTGAATTGCAGGCAAAGCATGCTTTTAATCCTCTTTTGGATAGATTCCAGGCACGGTGATTAAAATACTTATTTAATTTTGGTCTTGGATATAGTTGAAGGGCTGAGTTGACCACTTCTCAGCCATATCAGGAGCTGGTGTTTGTTCAGACAACCTGTTAGCACAAAGAGCAAGTCAGCAGAAGCGGCTACATCTTCTAGGGCTTCCCTGATGCCTTTCCTTGAAAGGACAGAGGGTCGGTTTCCTTGCACAAGAAAACAAATCTGGACCTTCCCTCCCTAAACAGAAGGGTCCTGCTGCCAGCTGAAAGGAAGCACATGCCAGCTGTGCAAATCTGTCCACGCAATGCTGCCAGCAATTTCTTTCCCTTTCCAGCCCTTGGGGTGTTTGATGCCACATACTCCCTCTGCATGCCCATTTCTAATTTAGGTCTCTTGTTCTTGACAAATGTAAAGCGAACTTTCATATGCCAGCTCTGTCGTAGTGGTGATGCTCAGGAGTGTGCCACTGCAGTATTTTAATATGAAAATTGTTACTGGAGTGATGCCACATCTAACTTTCATTTCTGCAGCATGATTATTGAAACTCCAGGTTTGTATGGTGGACGCCAAGGAACTTGTTCTTCAGAGATGCTGTTGGTATTGAATTCGTACCTGTGCTGTGAGAAGAGTTCCCTCCTGGTGACTTTCTTAACACAGCCTTACTTAAGAGCAGTGGCTTACAAAGAAGTTCCATTCTGGAAATAAAGCTTGCCTTGCTGTAGTCTTGCTTTATCTCTTGTTAAAGCACAAAACATGTGAAAATTTACATTACAAGCTGCTGGCTTCCAATAGTGAGAAAGCTGCTGTGAGACTACAGCTTCATGTTAAGCATAAAGAGCAAGAGTTTGGTGGTGCAGTCCCTGCTATTACCAGTGAGACACACTCCCTGCACATTGTCAACAGTTGAAGCAAGGAGTGAAGTGCTTGTGCTGTTCCAACTGCTTCTTAGTGAGTTGTTAGTGACAAGTCGCCTCAGAGCTGAGATTTCTTGAGCAGAGGGTCTCCTCTGTGATTTTTCAGGAGTTTTTTGACCTGGATGCATGCTTTTGCATTCAGCTGGTGAGGCTTCCTTCTTGAAGCAATCCTGCTTGTAGTGTGTGATGATAGCTTAACATCTCTCTGCAAACTTTGCTTTATGAATGTAAAACAGGTTCAAATAAGGCTAATCAAAGCCTGTCTCAGGCAGCTGTCTCTGTTATCAGCTGGTTGGTTTTTTTTCCCTTCTCACTTAATGTTGGTGCTTTTTATTCTGATGTATGCTTAATGGAATGCGAAGGAACAGTCCCTTTTGTTTTATTCTTGCTGATAACCTGAAGAAAATGGACAGTAACTCCTCTCAGCTATTACCTTTTTTTGTAATACTTCTTTATGGTGTTAGATTCTTGTTGAAGTTTCTAAGACTGTTGCCCTCTTCTGTTGCAAGTCCCGAGGATTTCCAGCTTTTCTTAGTCCAGCAGCTAGAGTGGCAAACAGAAAATCAGCTTTACTGGCAATACATCCTTTCTGTTTCGCACTGGTCTAGTTTCCTCAGTTACTTGATTTCCTAGTCTCCACCTGTTGATTTAACATGACCTACCTCTGTTCTTTTGTCTGCTGTACCTTAATCTGGAATGCTTATGTTTCCTCCTGTCCTGTGTCAGCATTTTGCCTCCTGAAGATGAGGCTTCATTCTCACTGGTGGTAGGAATGATATCTGGTGCATGTCAGCATGGGTGCTGACAGAGCCTGTCAGTCGTTTGTCCAAGCTGATCAGTGGCTCAGCAATTATCTGAACACACAAACGATGCTATTAATGTTATTTACAACTTCCAGTGTTTGTGAGCTAGATCTTTCAGAAAGATCAAACTATGCTTTGTTAAAACATACAGAAGTGGATGTTACTGCCTGTGCTACTTCATGAGGAAGTGCTGCAGGTGTGAGTCTTGACTCTGCCCTCAGTCTGTCCCTGTACTCCTGTGGTTCTTTCCTCTTATTTTGCTCTTTCTGTTTCTTCTCAAGAACTGTCTGTTTGTTGTCTGGCTTTCAGATACCACCTTCAGTTCAGTTCAGTTACTCTGCATTACTGCTGCTATGTGTGCTAAACCATGACATGGTTAACATGGGGAAGGGTGGGCTAGATCTTGACTATTTGATGCACAGAGTACTTCTTTGTGAATGTGTAGTGCTTATGCTGATGATGTTTACTGATAAGTCAGAAGTTACGTGGCAGAAGGAGATAGACACGTTTCTCAAGTATAATAAGTGTCAGTTCTCTAATTAAACTTGTACAGTGTTGCTGTACAAGTGCTCTTTAGGCTTTCTGAAGTTAAAAGATGTAGAGGACAAAAAGTGATTTCTTGACCCTGAGAATTCCTTTGTATTAGCATTTTTCTGCTCAAAAATAGGATTCTACTTGAAGATGTTGATAATTTTGTGCTTCAGTAAAAGCACATCTTTCTAATACTTGTAGTCAAGGACTTATGCAAAGAATGTATCAAAAGCTGCAGACCCCATTCTGCTAGCTAGGAGGCTTAGAAATGCAGCTTTTAGGGATGCTGGAATTTTATTACTTTCTTGCTTTCTAATTGATGCCCCTAAAGAGGAAGAATTAGTACTTACTGGCTATGCCTGTAGGCCTGTTGTGATGACATCCTGCTGTCTCGTTTTGATATTTTTTTTTGAGAGCCAGAGCTATCAACCCCCTTCCTTTTTACCCTTTAGCAATGTACTGCTGTTTTTGTCGAGGCTCTACTCACTATAGATATTGCTATTTGATACCTCATGTTCCCACTGACTGATGTGTTCAGTATACTTTTCAGTATACTTTTGCATAACACTCTGAAACTTAGCATCTCAATTTACTAACTGATGTTGTGGCTCCAAAAAGACATTAGTAACTTCATAGTGTGTACTCTTAATTCTTGACAGGATAAAGATTTCATGTAAGACTTCTTGCTGTTTATTTTGGCATTCTCTCTTCATAACTAGGTATATATGATACTTACCCTTTTGAACATATCAAAAGGCAAACTCAATATTCAGTTGTTAATCTGTTAAGCAAGACTTATAGAGAGGAAACCCTCTTAGTGTAATGGATTGAATAATAACACTTAGTGACAGTTATCCAGTGCAATTATCAATAGAAAGCAGGGCTGAAGGCTAGAGCTCACAGAATGAGCTGAATCTTAAAGCTCACCACTAGTTGTTAAGATTTTTTTGCTGTAAAGTAAAAAAAAAGTAAACCTAAACAAACCCACAAAAAATCAAATTAACAACAACCAAAAAGGTGACGTTTTCCTGAGCATGCTGTTTGCTTTAAACTGAAAGCTAGACATGCATGCACAGCCAGCAGCACTTCTGGCTAGATTAACACATTGATACTGTTTACTTCTGTGTATATTTAGCTCTTCTCACTCTTGATATTGAATATTCCACTCCTAGGTAGTCCAGCAACCATCAGGAACCATTGTAAAGCAAGTATCTGCACTTCCGCAACCCTCAACGCTGACCCTACAGACATCTGCTGAGGAAAGGATGCCACTGAATACACTTGTTCGAACTAACCAATTTCCTGCAGGTAAAGTGGAACCTCTTTAGTGGAGAAGGGAAAGGACTGCAAAGATATAGAAATAAGCGCACACTGTTGGTAGGTCTTAGGAATGTGGAAAAACTGATTGTCTTGTTGGGAAGTAACCAGCTCTGTGTGTTAAGTTGAACATCTTTACTGTCTGCTTGGTTCTGATGAGAAACTCAGTGCCATGTCTACTTCTGGTGCCTGTTAAAAGCATGTCAGTCAAACATTTACACTTGTTAAAGTCCTGTGAGTAAGCTTCTTGCAGTGAGCCTCCTTTGAACTACAGCGCTTTTGAGAGTTGTTTCATGAGACTGCTTTTTCTTACTACACCGGGGAAGGGATCTGAAGCCAAAAGTGCCGTTTAAAAAGCTCTTTTGGGGGGCTTTTGAAGCCACGAAAAGCCGTTTCAGCGTGCCGGGGGACTAGCAGCTTGTGGGCGGGCTGCTAGGCGAGAGTGGGCGGAACCGGTGGCACCCAGCTCTCACCCCCCCCTCCGTGGGCGCAATCAGCACCACCCATCACTGATCAGGTGATAACAGGTCTCAGCGAGGTCATAGAGCGCAATGATTGTGTGTGCTCTGGGGGGTCCCACAGTTGTTTGCAGCTCGTTGGCCAGAGTTAGTGAAGTGCTGCAGGGTAGGTCAGGAGGATGGTGGCTACTCGGAGGAGGAAAACTGTGCCCCCAGCTCCCACCAAAATGGATATTGGTATCCAGGCCATAGGCTGTGAGGAATGCCACAGCCTTGCACTGGCAACAGGGGGCAACTCTGACTGGTGCTGTGTGAGGTGCGAGCAGGTTGAGGACCTGCTCAGCCTGGTGGCCAAGCTCCAGGATGAAGTATTGGAGCTCGGGGATGAGGTAAGTAGGCTGAGAAATATCAGGGAGAGTGAAATGGAAATAGATTACTTTCACAAACTGATCTCTACAAAAAGAGAACAGGATAGCAGTCTTAGTGGAGCAGAGGATTCCACGTCCTCTCATCAGCAAGCCCCCCAGCTTTCCTGTAGTAACCCAGGCGAGCAGGGGCAATGGGAACGGGTCTCTGGCCGACGAAACAAATGACACAAAAGGAGGGAGTGGGTTCCTTTAAGGAGTGCACCACCTCT